TTTTGGCTGTAAAGATGAACTTCTTGTAATATTGAGATAAACAGTGAATTTTATTATTGACTTATGTGTATCCACTTACATTTTAGGGGATTTTATTCTTATTTATGTTTCTTTTCCCCATAATAATTTAAATAATAACCACACCATTAGGTCTGTAAGTTAGCCATACTAAAAAAATATTTGGCACCAGTCAAGGCAATGATGAGTTTGTCTAGATGGAAAAATTCTGTGTTGTTTGTATGTATGTTTGTTTGTATGGTGGTGTGTGTATGGCACGCCAACACCCAATGGTTACATTTTTCTCTAGAGCTTGAGAGTTGTATTCAATCATCCTCTCAGGACTTAGATGCAGTCTAGCCCAGGATAAAGTGACACTCTTAATACACTTCTCAGAAGGGCTTTAGCTGTTTTAGCTCTTCAAGCAAGTTCATTCAGGGTCTCTCTGTGACCTGATAGTGTGCCATGAAGATGTATCCTGAGACACTGGACAGAGTGTTGAAAACAAGGACATCATGTGACCAAAAGTTAATCACCTTCTGCTTAGGGCTTTAATGACTGAAAAACAGAGGGCTTCACCCTCTAAAACCTCTCAGCATTTGGTGGTGGTTTTATTCCTTTCATCTCACCTCTGCTGTTTCCCACCTCTTGCGGTTGTCTTCTTCTACCTGTCAGACATTTATCTTCTGCCTCTTCTCCTTTTAGGCACAAACTAGCATTGCCTCCTCTTCATTTTGCTGTGCAGCCATAGGGAACACCATTAACAGGAGAATTTATGACCCCCCACAAAGCACTTCTTCTTCTTTACTTGCTGCTGGAGAAACCAACAGAAAATTGGTTTGGGGTTTGTTGTGGTGTGGTGTTTTTTTGTTTTTTTTTTTTTTTTTTTTTTTTTTTGTTTTTTTTTTTTTTGTTGTTTTTTTTTTTTTTTATTATTTTTTTTAACTACTGAATATAATAAAATGAAATTGGTTGATTCATACCTTTTTCACCCAAGATGCATTGACCTATATTAACGAACTTGACAGAATAGAATTAAATGCTCTGATCATGACGAATCAAGAGAATCCTCAACCTCAGCTTTTGTGAATTTTAAGAAAGGAATATTTATTTTATTTGCATGTTTTAGTCTAGAAAAGAACTGAAATTGTTGTGTGGGACCACTTGCATCGTGCTGAATCAATCACAGGAAATTAATAGTGGTGTCAAACTGCCTCTTTTTGGACCTTTGGCGATTCATCTCGCCTTACAGATGCGAGCAGTTTTTGGGCAAGTGACAGATTGCTATGGACAGGTCAGCATAGGATCTAGGTAACCAAAAGGCAGTGCAATGCACACCTGGTGGCAGATAAAACAAGTCAACTCTCAGCATTCATTTTTTGTTTTCTGCATCAGGCAAATAGGATCTGCTAATAACAGATGGACAGTTGTTGTAACGATAGAATCCTGATTTGACCATTTTGCTCATATTCACCATTGTTCTTAGTGTTCAGAGTTGGTCAGACTCTGACTTCTGATGGCTGCTGCTGGAGAGTCACACTTAGTTACACTTTTATCTACAAAGTCTGTGAGAAGACAGGGTGTTAAGGGGATCAGCAGACCGAGTGATAAGAAAACCTCTGCAAAAAGGAAAAATGCATGTGTGCAGAGTTTCCCAGACTTCCTTAACATTCTCCATATCCAATACTCAGAATTCTTCTTGTGAATAATTTATGCAAACATATTCCATTGCTACAACCACTTCACTGGGTATTTGCTATTTTGGGGCTTGGTCACCTATTTCTGTATGATGGTTACCTCTCTCTGCATGTGTGATTCTTACACGTGGCTCTTCTGGGTGAATATATTTGAGTATTTGCCAAGCTTTCCCTATGTGCAAATAAATTTTGCTTTCAGCAGTGTGCATACAAAACCAAGCAGAGATAAGAGGTTGCAAATACTGTCAGGAGGAACGTCAGTACCAATGAAATGTACCTCTACAGCATTTTTGTTTTTGTCTTATGGTGCTCTGGTTGTAATAACTGCATTTCCAAGAGGATAGAAGGCTTCCCCTCAGAGTTACTCCCCAAGTCAACTTTGGGGAGTGCCTAGAGGGGTGCCTCAAGCCCTCCTGGCAACTATGATGGCATTGAGCAGCCCAGCAGCACTGGTTCTCTAGCCATTCCTAACCCAGGAAGCTGTGCTGTGAAGCCCAGACTCTGGTTCTGTGCACTGCAGCACAGAGCCCACCTGGCCACGGAGGTGAAAATAGCCAGGGATGGTGTTTTATTATGATTTATGAAAACATAAAAATTACAATGGTTTTCCTGCTTCCTTCCTTTCCATTTATTGTTCCATCCTTGCTTTCTGCAGATCTATTCATTTGGTGGTGGGAGGAAGGAAAAACCCCCGATTTGTATGTGTATGGCTTCTAATTTCTCTGCTCTATCATGTTCACTCACTGTCCCAGCAGCTTGGACACTCCCCTGAAATTCTTCGCCACTCTTTGCTCCCTGTTATAACCATGCTGCATTGCCAGGCCCACAGGAAGCAGCATGCAGGGCTGCAGAGGAAAGAGGCTTTAATAAGGCCAGTGAATTTTCAGCTTTCTCCAGAGCAAATTTAGCTGTGTTCTCTCCTGCTGTGTGAAATGATGATGAGGCAATCGATCGTAAACAGGTGCCGCAAGGAGCTGCTCAGCATATAGCAAGCCTTTGCACTCCACTGCCACGCTCGGCACCTGAATCCTAATATCACTGCATGAAGAGTGACAGAATAATAATTCCCAGCTAGTGTTAAGGTAGAAGCCTGTTAAATTCAGAACCTTCTGGAATTAATGCCGTTCTTCGTGTAGGTTCACTTCATTTGCCAAGCTTTGTTTCAGCAATTCCTTGAGCAGGGAAATGCATCTTTAGGAAGTATTTGTGTAAATAAATTATTTACTCATTATTTGAAGTTTTACACCATTTTATAAGCATTTAAGTACTTTGAGGTTTTTTCATCTTTCTGTGTGTGTATACATATATTTATTTTTACTATTCCACACTTTAATTTGTAAAAAGAAAGCCTGGTTTGTGTCTACTTGGTACTATAGTCTCAATCACCTTGTATGGGAAGGTTAGAGCAAGAAACATATACTAATGTATGTACATATATGTGTGTGTACACAACTCCATGTAATTCTAAATTAATCCATAGACAACAAGATGACACTCGGTAGTTGGGTAGTTGCTGAGTTTCAGTAGGACAGACAGCCCCCCCTCTCTCAGAACGGGGGAGCAAGGACCCATTGTAGGTGCATGTTGGCTGGAAACTATGTTGTTACTGCCTGAGTGAGGGGATGGCACAATGCAGGGGCACCTCCTCTTGCCCTGCTCTTCCTGTCTTCCCAGTTTTGCAGATTTGTTTTGTGTGGTTGGTCGGTTTTTGTATTTCTCCATTTTTCCTCTCTTTTACCATTCAGGAGATGTTTCATATCTATCCAATGTAAGTTCTTTGTTCCACTTTTTTATGGCTTCTTTGTTACGCCCTAAAGCAAGCCCTGCCCAGCTCTCAAGGTTGCATTCCTTTACGGACCATCCTTGACCATTTGTATTTGTGCTTTTACCTCTGGAGTCAGTCTGTGCCTGTACTTTCAAGGCCTTTGCTGTCATCCGATGGGTGTATTCTCAGGGGCCCCTGTGACAACCTGCTCAAAAACCCCTAAATGAAAAAAGTAGATACAAAGCCTCATATATGCATTTGTGTCTCGGTCCAAGAAACTTCTTCTGAGCTTTAAATATGCACTGAAGTGTCTTTTTCAGTATTTGGTTATCTTTTTAAAGTTGTCACTGGAATGACATCTTTCCTTCTTCCTCTTTGAAAGGGTTTTATCTGATCTTTTCTGTGTTCTTTGTGCCTAGAAGCTTCCACAGGAACATCTTGTGCTGAGAAACATATGTACATGACTCAAAAACCATCTGCTGCTGTCACCTGAAACACTTTGCACAGAAAGCTAATGCATAATTTACAGTAAAGATTTTTGTCACGTTTTGAAGTTGTAGATTTTTTACCTTAGCTCTACGACAGGGAAGATGCTTTTCACGGACAAAAGAGCCTAAAATCTAGTCTTAGTGCTGCAGATATGAATTCATGTGCTTAACTCGGGCAACCTCTGCTCTGTACCTGGTACTTTGGTCATGTGGTGCCTTGAAGGCCATGTCACTCTGTAGCTCCAGCGATGCATGCTTGACTTATTGCCTACCTAAATTAAGCCCAAGCTTGCAGGTCTCACCTGCCCTTATGAAACGCAGAGAGTAGACCCCTCAGAAGTCTGGTCTGCCTGACATAAGTAACATGAACGGGAATATAAATTTCTTTTGTGCCCGTTTGCAAGACTCCTGTAAACATCAGTTTGAATGCAGCCCATTGCCATAGTACTTCAAAATGGGCTCCTCGTAGCAAGCATAGTCAAATAAGGAGGCAAGACTCCAGGGTGAAGTGCATCCTCTGTGCAGCAGACGTGGCACTCCCATTGCAATGGCATCATGTGAGCTATGTGGAACAAATACCATGGACAAAGCCTATCTGGGAGACAAAAACCTTTGATTCCAGCTTAACAGATGCAGATGTAACATACTCTTGGCAAGCCAACTGTCTAAAGGGCGGATCTCCAAACTCAGCTCTCCTGAGGTTTCACTCATGTCAACACTGGGAAGAGATGTTAGTGCTGGTGAAAATATCCTTAAGACTTTAATCTATGTTAGCTACCATAGAACATGTGTCTTCAAAACAGGTATTCAGATACTGTGTTCTCTGAACAAGTGAAATTGTCTTCCTCTTTCAGTACCGTACCAAGGACTCTACCTATGGCTCCTCAGTTTCAAAAGATAAAATTTCAATAAGTATAAGAATAGCTTTCTACACTTTATTTAGGACTTGTTGCAAAGCAGCTTGCCAGGGTACAAGACCCAGTGTGGGTAAAGCCTGGCTATTGAGTTTTGACTTATGCTTCCATTGTAAACCTGAAATATATGAGGTGAAACCCTCACCTGTTGCATGTGCCATGTGCTCAATAATAAATTGACATAACGTGTTTCTAAATCTGAACTTCTTCTTTGGGGAACAACTGCTTACAGTGGTGTGCAAATGGGTGTGAGGATGCCAGTATGGGTGTACTACCTAGCTTCCTCTAAAATTGTCTTTCCTGTAACTTATCTTCTATCCTTGTTTCAGTCAAGGGCTATAGTGTCTTTGCTTTTCGATGTGAGTATTTCTGCTTTAATAGTGCCTTACTGTGTACCACATGGAATATTTTTATAAAATATGACTAAACATAGATTTATAATACGTACCATTACACATTTGGAAGTAATTCTGCCACCATCCTAAATACAAGAAAGCAGATGTTTCCCTTTCAGCTCCTCTTTCTTCCTGCTTCATCTTTGGAACTTTCTAGTAAACTGTAGTATACTCAAGTGAGCTTGACCAGATCATAAAGTGTTGCTCTAAATTACTTTATCCCCTCCCAGGTGGTCTTAAGCCAATCTTAATAGCATTGTCAAAGTGCTTGGCTGTCACATGTGCCATCCAATAGGCGAATAACCACTGAAAATATTGCACCTTATTGTATTACTCTACTTACAGTTTTCATGCCAGTACAAAAACAGTGTTCAGAAGCTATTGCATGAGATTCAAAATGGAATGCTCCCTGTCTTTAATTTATCATTTCTATTACTGCTCCATTGCTTCTCTTGTTTACTGTTGTCGCAGGAAGACTGTTGCTGTAGTACACACTGCATTTTACTGATGTTTTCATGAAACACATAACTGGCAGGTATGATTGGGTGCTTTTCAAAGAGATCTCTTTTATTGGTGCTTACTTTATTAATTAATTATTTTCTACATAAGATAGAGCCATTCTTTGATGGAGTCACAGCAAGGGGCATGAAGGCGACATGAAACAGCTCTTTACCTGGCAGCAAACGCTCTCAATCCTCCAAGCCCCAGACACAGAGAACCTTATCAAGATGTGAACAGGTCATTGCTGCTGGAAGCAAAGTGCTGTAAAGACTCCTCCTGCAGTAATAACTACTCTGTTACCTCACATTTATTATTCTTTATCTATGCTCTGTGTATATACATTTTCTGGTGAAGACAGCTCTGAGAAATGAGCTCTAAAAACCTTAGGTTTGCCAAATGCACATGAAAGGGACTGATACATGTTTCCACTCACTCTGCATCCTGATGCTGGCAGCAGTTCACTGATCCCAGCGGGGGCCTCAGTGGTGGCAGGAGTGGCCACAGGAGCTGCACAAATGGGAGTAGAGAGAGCAGCAGGAGGCTGTGCCTGTCTCATGTCTTGCCTACCGGAGAACATTCAGCATTAAAACTGAGGGCACACAAAAACTGAAAGAACTTCAGATAACTTTACAACTAAAATGACTTATGTCTTTTGAAATTAAGTATGTTGCAGCATTCACCAATAAACAACTTGTGAAGGTCAAGACAATGCTTGAGCTAGCAAAACGCAGACACAGTTTGTCAGTGAAGTCCATTTTTTAAGAAGTCTTGCTTACTAGCAATATATCCTTGGCATGTGTGGCCAGAAGCCTGGGGAGAAAAAGTAAAGGACAGAGGGAAAGAAAGCCTCCATCATCTTTGGGTTCTAGACACATAGGTCATATTCCAGAATTCATCACATGTGTCATTACACCGTTCCTTTTGTATTTTCTTCAGCAGTCAGCAACATAGAAGAGCACACAGCTGCTTTGGATTAATCTTATGCTTTAGAGCCTTCATTTTGCTGTGATAAAATGATGTTACCTTGGCACCGTTTCACTCAATGACTCTAACAGATCTGGGCAAATACTACTTTGGGTTGTTTTTTTTTGTTTAGAGGCCAAACCAAAAAAGCAGGAAAAATATGTCTTGGATAGGAATTTTCTAACGTTTTCTTGGCAAAATGAAACCAAAAAACTCCTCATGCCAAAACCTTGAATGAACCATAATGTTTTGTTCCATCAAAATGTTCCATTCCACCAAAATGCTTCATTCCACCAAAATATTTCATGCCACCAAAATGGAATGTTTTGTGTTCTGATTATTCTTGTCTTTATTTGGTTTTTGTTTTTTTTTTTTAAGTGAATAACACTTTGAATGAAGAAGTTGCAAAACTATTTGCAAAGAGTTGGAATGGAAGGATTTGCCGTTTTCAAAAATCTATTCTTGTGCTCTCCTTTCAGCCAAGAATTTAGCTCAATTCAACCTGAATTTACTCATTGTTTCCATTTTTGTTTGGTTTTATTTATTTTTTTTTTATTTTTCAAATCCATTGCCTGTGGAAAAACATTGCCCAGAACTTTCCCTCTTGCTATTGAACTGATTCTTGAATGTTCTTTCTGCCCCATCAGTGACAAATTCTCCTACTTTTACAGGTTTTCTTTTGTTCTTGTTTTTTTTTGGATGAAGACCACTTCAGTTTTGTTTCTTGATGATCTGAAAGTTCCTGCCATTTGTTCTGTGCCACTGTTAAGATCCTTCGTGAGCTCTGCCTTGGCCCTCTCCTGCTCATCCTGTAGCAGTCACAGGCTAACAGGGAGTGAGGTAAATTCTGTCTGTGCTCTGTGGAGTGGATGTTGCTGCCAATGCACCTTATTTTACTGCTTTGGTTCCCCAATGCCCCCCCAAAAAATCCCCAAACCTTTCCCTTTTCATTAAGGAACATGAAGTTAAAGCACGAGTTGGAACTGTGCAAAGAGAGATGAATCAAAGATTCATATTTAGACTGGCATGTTGCATGCTCTTGAAACACATCTTGCCTTAAGGATGCTTGGCTCTGCCAGGGAAGCCCACAGTCTTCCAGGCAAGAGTCCATCTCTGCCCAGAAACATTTCTGTTGCTGTTTGTTTGTTCCTTGGCCCAGGAGCTTGGTAATCTGGGCTTTTCCCAAAGTACATGTACTTGTAGGCATAAGCCATTGTAGTGCATCCAGTGTGTTTGGAAGATGTCTGTTTTCTGGTTTTATGGTAGAAATAAGAATTCTAACCAAGAATTTCCAACAAATTTCTCTCCAAAGCTGGAATCTGGGGTTATTTCCCAAACTCTGCACCACTGATAACCTTCCATCCATTCTGCATGTGCATTGTAAGTATGATTAAAATGAAATTATTCTGGGAAGATGAATGCTGTTTCCAAGGTTCATAATTTGCCCCTTCCAACCTTGAACAAGTGACCCTTTTGACTGAGGTTTTCTAAGTCTGCTTTGTCTGCAGAAATGAGTTTTAAATATTCCCATAAAACCTCTTCATTTCCTGTGCCATGGGCATGCAAACACAGTCTTTAGTTTGTTGGGGCAAGGGAAGATGAGGTTTGAAAATAATGCTGCATTTATATGTAGAGCCAAACAGGCTTGAAAATAATCCTTTTAAGAATTTTATTTACATTATCAAAATCAATCAAGACCTGATTGTTTGAAAACTGTAGTATGGTATGTCAGTAATACTTTAACAAGCAAGCTAATCAACCATTCCTCCTACTGCCTAGAACTGATGAAAGAAAAAGATTCTTATTAATTCTACTTTTAAATGCTTGGGAACCAGGCAAATCCTCGCTGGTGAGAGCCAGATGGGTCCCTCGGTAGCAAGATTCTTTTATAGGCTCATTCCTCATTTCTGTGGCTAATGTTTCCTCCTAATGGGGAGATTGTCCCCACCAATCCTGTTTCTGGCAGCACTGCCATCCTCAGAGGCAGCAGGAACATGAGTCATGGCTGGCATGTCATTCTGGTGGCCATCACTTGGGTATTGATGTGACACTGAGACTTGAACCCACCTCCAAATCGTCATTGCTGTGCCTGTCTGCTACTAATGGATAAGAGTACTCCAGTAGGTGCACTGGAGCTGCTGCAGTGTGAGCTCTCCTGGCCTTGGCTATTTGGTCTTAGGCAGAAATGCCACTGGACAAACAAAGACTGCAGGAATCCGGTCAGCCTGACTAGCAGCAAAAGCCTGTACAGGGATGTAAACAGCCATGTGGGATGGGCTGGCTGAGCCCTCAGCCTATGCAGAGCTGCTGCATAGCAGCAGCGCAGAGCCCTTAGCTGGACATCAACCAGAACAAATCCATAGCTGAAAAGTGGTATATTCTGAGCTGGAGAGCTCAGGAGTAGCAACATAAGGAGGGAGGGATGAGTGCAATTAAAAGGCTGCAGGAGGCAGGGAAAGTGCCAGTTGGGTGCAAGGGGGCTTTCACAGGAATGGCAATGAGTGTTCCTCTGCAACCAGGGGGTGTTGGGATGAGTTATGCAGCTTTTTTTGGTAGTTAGAGGGATCAGAGCAATGTCCTGACTGAGGTTTGACGTGGGCTATTGAGGATTATGTGAAATCTGAAAACGCTTTGGGCAGTAGGTAATTTTGGGAGCTGGGACATTTTGACCAGATTAGAGCTGAAATCAGGTGGAAACACATCATGAGCTTTTGCTGGTCAGTAACTTCTGACCCCTGAGGTGCCAGTGGCCCACTGCAGAGAAAGAGGTCTCAGCTGAGTCTGTGTCAGAGGTTTTATGTTGTTTGGGGGATGCGGAAAGAGCCCTCCTATTGCATGTGTCAGAAAACTTTTCCTTTTAGGGTTGCAAACCTGGCAGCAATAAAAGCTGGATGTAGCAGACAATTGTTAGACAATTTGCTTCGGGATTTTACAGTGATGTGATACTTTGCTCAAAGAATATAAATTGGGACTAATTTTCTCTGGTGAGGAGTGGAGTCAGTCTCAACAGTGGCACAAGACCTGATGCTTATTTGGGAAATGCATCCTTTGATTTTTGGCTGATAGGGCTATGCAAGGTACTTGAAAGAATATTACAGTCCAAACAAAAACACAATAGCAACTGAGAGCTAGAGATAGCTGATGAGTGACTTTTGAAGAGGCAACGTTGGGTGTTGACTTGCTGTCATGTAAATACAAAAATAGCCATGCCAGCCCAGATAGGAAGTTTAGTAGCAGAACCTCTATACAAATACTGATAAATTAGTGGAGACTTTATATTTGCTTCTGCAGAG